GTTAACAATTTAAAAGAAATTGGTTTTGATCAAATTTCGACAAAATGTGACAAGCATTTAAATTGCCGAATTTTAGTCCGTTTTTATTTAGGCCAAATGGCGATGGTGAATTTCTAGATTTTTCAGAAACCTGATTTGTATATTTTTTATGAGGGGCTTTGATTTTTCTTGAATGTTTTATCCTTGTTTGGATAAAGAATAAGGTTCACTAAGGGCCTTTTTTGGCACTGTGAATTTCTGAAAAATCAAAAATGCTCAGTTTTAGTTGAAAATATATTAAATTTCACTTGGACCCTTAGTGACTGCATATCTATAAAAAAGGACGTAATCATCTTACTTGTTTATGTATTATGGCGTCATGAATTGCGTCATTATCCCTTAATCCTAAAAAAATTCTTCAAAAATGGCTAAAAAGATAACAACCCTTGATCTAAAATATTGAATTATATAATGAAAGTACTGTTTCAGAAGATTATATCAATGTTTTATCTTTTGGATCGCGGGATGTGCTCATATTTTTAGCTAAAAGTGATCAAATACACCCATTTTCTCCAAAATTCAAGAAAATTACATTTTCTTAAAGTCTCTTTTTCAATACCCGGACTCTGAGAAGAAACTTTCTTATAGTAAAGCACCAACTCTCTATATTGATGTATGAAATGGGACATTGGGACTTGGTAAGTTATTTGGTATATGGACAGGGCCATTTTAAAGAGTTGGTGAACCTTGCTCTTTCAGATGCATCGTTGTTTTTTTAAGAGAATAATAAATTAAGAAAAAAAATAGGGTTTTTTTTTAATAAAGACCCCTGACAGTATATAAACATTAACATTTTACACTATTGCATTCTAGACACAAGTTTTGTTAGTTCTTAATAAGGGTTTTTACAACAAAGATAATTGTTATTTGTATTAATGATTGTACATTCATCCCCAATTTTCTAATATGAACAAAATTCAACTTTTTGACAAATGTGGCCACATTTCCAGCAAGTATCTTTTCTCCTAAGCCTGCAGTTTCGTGCGGAGTGGTCCTCTTCACCAAATAATGGACAGATGTATAACCTATTTCTGAGGAGTATGTATTAAAACAAGAGGCCCATGGGCCACAATGCTCACCTGAGTAACTTAGGCCCTGATGTTCTTCACCATATTTCCCCCTTTCCCTTGTAGTACCTATTGTGGCCCCGCCCTACAACCTGGGATCATAATTTGAACAATTTAGAATCTGAACTAATGCATTCACATTAATTTAAGCTTTTTTGGCCAAGTGGTTCTTGAGAAGAAGACTTTTAAAGATTTGTCCTATATCTTTCAATGTGAAAATTAAATTTCCTATTGTTGTGGTGTCCTACCCCCGGTGGTCATGATTAAAACAATTTAAAATCTATACTACCCCAGGATGCTTCCACATAAGTTTCAGCTTCTGTGGCCTAGTTTCTTGAGAGGAAGATTTTTAAAGATTTTTTCCACATATTTGAAAGTAAAACATGGATTCTCTATTGTGGACCCTCCCTACCCTGTGGTCATAATTTGAACAATTAAGAATTTACACTACCCCATAATCTGCCAACGGATGCTTAAATAAAGCATCAGCTTTTCTAGCCCAGTTTTTCTTGAGGAGAAGATTGTTTAATGCTTTCTACAAATTTTGGTTAAAATTGTCCAGTGGTACTTGAGAAGAATTTGAAAATATGAAAAGATTACAGACGGACGGACAGACTGACGGACGAACGACGGACAACGGGTGATTAGAAAAGCTCACTTGAGCTTTCAGTTCAGGTGAGCTTAAAATGATATGGCATTCACGTGATTTTGGCTAAAATATTTGCAATATTTAGGCTATCTATTATTTCCAATATTACATGGGCATAACTAAATTAAAAATCTAAGTTTTATTTATAAGATTTTTTCAACAATATTCGTAGTTTGTAAAAATTTCTGCAAACCTTTATAGATTCTTTTATGTGATTGCTGAAATTGCATTTGTTAGACAGCGTATTGAGTATTTTATTGGTCAATTGCATTTTAAAAATATTGAAATAATTCATTAATTTGCAAGATTTCATCGGGCTCGAAGCACTTTTCAAATATCCTTATACATCTTTGGTTTATTTGTAAAAGCTTGCCATGGTGTGTAACCTTGCATTATATGTTGAATTATTAAGACAATTCTATCACCCTCAAATATACGCAAGTGTGACCTGACTCAGGAATAATATATGAATGATGTATGAAAAATCACAAAATAGGCATCGCATCCAAGTTAATGGCCTCGTAAATATCAGCAAATAGTATTTTAATTGATTACGAAATACATTTATCATGAGTAAAATTTAACTTGATACGTAACATTTTATGATGTGATGTCACATTGACAAGTGCATTTCGATCAGTGCATTTTGTTTAAATCCTTCCGTGTTGGATTAATAATAATAGTAAGTTGAGGTGTTTTTAAACCTCTCCCACAGCTTAAAATCGCAAAGCAATTCGTTTTGAGGTAATTTTAAAAATTTATATTTATATGTTGCCATAGTAAATATTTCCGTTAAATATCAGGCCCAGCCTCCTCTATGTAGCCTGCGTTATGGATAGCGAAACGGGTTCAATTTTGGTGCATAACCTACATTTGTCTTCTTTATCCTTTATTATTTAGTTTTCTCGTCAAAAACTGCAAAAAAGGAGACAATTTTCCCTTTAATGTGCCATGAAAAAACAGATTAGTTTGTTTTGAAGTAATTCAGTGTGACGTAAGGCAATGAAGGTCATTCGACATATTTTTTTCCCATCTGATCAAATAGCCCGTTACAACCAGATCTTAAAAGCAAATTTTTAAAAGAAAAAAAAATGGCTGTGCACTCAAATATACCAAGCAATTCTTAGAAATTTAAAACGAAAACAAACAGGATACAATTTATACCAGGAAATATAATATTTTTGATATACCGATTTCTTTTTCATTTTCATGCATGCGCTTCTAAACAAATTGTGAGTGTATACATCAAGTGTGATTATTCAGGTAAGTGTCTCCTGAGGTTGTTCTGATGTCACTTATAGATGAAATAATAATGGAAATAGGTTTAGGTTAATTGATTAATTGATTCTAGGATGTTTAACGTTTCATTGGAAAAATGAAACCCGAGCATCACTATCGTAACAGATCCGTACCCCCCGTTCATAAACCGAGCACCCTACCACTACGCTACCTGGGCCCGTCTTAATTGTGTTGAATTTACAATTATCACTATCGCATTGTGCTATGGCTATATCTAAATTAAAAACCATTCCAAAACGATTATACTTTTTTCCCTTAAAAATATGGAATTTCTTTTTAACATTTAATTTGTCATTTTTTTCTCTATAAGATAGTAGGTTATTAAGACGAACTCTGAATATTCTTCACAATTAGCAGTCTTATATTCATTAGTTTTCTACTGAAATAAGTATCTTGAGGACGTTTTCTGATTCTGAACTTTAAAAGTCAGAAACGTATACATAAGCCCTTTGTTATTTGACGATAGGAATATATTTAAAAGCTTTTGTGTATGTATGAGCATTTATTTTTAGATACAGCAATTGAATTGCTTTAAAAATATTCGTTACCAGGAAATTTGAATTCAAAATAACAACTATCGCAGTACGGTAGTAACGTTACATGAACCTTGATTCAAAATTGAGAGAACGTAAAAATCAATTGAGGCGGAAATAAAATGCTTTCAATTCTTTATCTGGAAATCATATATCCCCTTTTACTTATTTTTTTTAAAAGCAAGTATCTAAATATTAAGTATTTAAATATAAAACAATTACATTAAAAAATATATATATTCAAGTACGTATAGAGAGAGAGAGAGAGAGAGAGTTTAACTTCGATATACTTATTGCGTATTTTAATATTTAAAGAGCAATACATCATTACATAAGAAAAACTGAAGCTCTGGTTAAAAAGGGCTTGATAGCTATCATGTAATTTAAAAAAAATAATAATAAAAAAAACCCTCTTTTTTTCACTGGGACTGATAGCAATGTACAGCTGTGGTTTTTTTTTTTTTTTTTTTTTTTTTTTTTTTTTTTTTTTTTTTTTTTTTTAATTTGAAATAAATATATAATTTTTTTTTTTTTTTTTTTTTTTTTTTAATTTGAAATAAATATATAAATTATTAAGTCGCTTAAAAACTGCCTTTTCTTACTTATACAGTATAAGCAATTAAATATATATGTATATTACAGATATCAGAAAAAAAATCTCCTCAATCTGAAGCAAAGAAAGAAATATGAGTGTGGGTTAACCAACTTAAGCTAAATGTTTTCATTATAAATTTTCTAAAAAACTGTGTAGATAAAACATGTTCATCTATGCTAATGCGCTTCGCAACATACATTTATGTTTACATGTACCTTTTGCTATTAATCTGTCATACATGAAAGAAACTTAAAATACACACAACTGCCATGGAATCAGATTAAATGTCGTTGTTATGTCAACTTACACAAACTTGATTTTCGTACTGGGTTTGTACACCCGATATCCGGAAATTCCTATCTAAAATCGTTCACTCCGGTGTTGCAATTGAACCCCATGATTTGTTGGCAAGAAATCTACAAAGACAGGCGAAATCTAAATTTAATAAATCATCATGTTATATATTTGCTTCACTCACACGCGTTTTTTAAGACATGCTGTTCATAGTTTAATATTTTTTAACAATGTTCAATGTTAATTTCTCGAAAAATGTTACCATTTTTGCTAAATCTCATAGACTACTTGCAATTTTCAATGAATTAAGTAAAAAAAAAATAAAAAAAATAAAAAGAATATCCGAAATCAAATAAATGAACAAGAGAGACTATTTCTAATTCTCAAATCATATAATAATATTCATAATGTGGATAATTCGTTGCTGTCTTCGCTGAATTTCAAAAAAAATCCTAAAATATCTATACATGTATATACTTTTTTTCATTCAATTACCTCTTTTATATATTTCAAATTGCAGACTAATAATGTCAGACCGGGAAATTGATGCCATACAGAATTATGAAAGGTATCTTGACGAATTCGTCAACCAGTATGAAGAGTGGGTAAGGAATAGGAGAAGGGCCATTAGAGATTTGGAACAAATTGTGGCCGACATGGACAGTGGCGAATTTCAAAACAATGTCACGCAAATTGTGGGTAGCAGTGTCGGTGTTTTAAGCGGAAGCATAATGATTGGAGCTTTGCTTCTTGCACCCTTCACTGCGGGTGCGTCTGCTGCAGTTGGTGCTGGAATAGCTGCGGGGGTAGGCTTAGCTGGTGGAATTACCAATCTCACTTCTGACCAAATTAATAAGAATTATGCTTTGAGAAAATGCAAGGAAGCTGAAGACATTATATTGGGTGACCAGAAAAGAACAACCGACCTCGATGAAGCCGAAATACGATTTACAGAAGCTATTGAAACTTTGAGGGAGGTTGCTAAGTCTACAAAAAAAGAAATAAAGACGATGCTCAAAACCATTAAAAGGGGAAAGAAGGTTGCACAGGTCATGTCGAAAACGGCACGTTTAGTCGGGAAAGGGGGTCGAGGAATCGGACTGACTGCTGGAAAACTTATTGGTAAAACGGCTGTTCTTGCTCTTGTTGGTGTAGGCTTCGATATTTGGGAAATCGTCTCATCAAGTCAAGATATCGCTAATGGATCTAAGTCTGAGCTCGGAAAAGACATAACAAAGCACATCGAAAAGATGAGGGAATCATTAAATGAGGTCCAAGAGTTCTACTCTGAAGCATACGGTCTGACTGCCTAATCACTAGGTACTTCCTACGGTTAATTTCCTTATATACTGGGTACTTCTAATCACTAGATTTTTCATGCTGAAAAACAAAGAAAATACCTAGATTTGAAAATTAGTATTGATTAAAAGATCGAGACCTTCACAATTTTTTTTCATACTGTATATGCTTATTGAAATTTGTAATACATTTACTGATTATGTATCAAACATGAGTGATGTTTGTTTATTTTTGCATCAAAATTATTAGAAACACATTATTTGTTGTTAATGATATGCAACAAGAAAATGAAATAGCTCTCTTTTTATAATTTCCTAGGTTTTATGCGCAGCATAACTACATGTTGTACTAGCTGGACATTACAATGAAAGTTGGATATTTTCCCTTCACCTTCTGAAAGTATCAGATTTGTCTGCTCAGAAAGGGAATCGCTTTTATTCCCCCGCTTCAGAAGTGGGTTTTTATAGTGATTGGGGTGTCCGTCTAGCGGTCTGCACGTTCGTTCGTTCTGGGGTACCCATCTTTTATTCGCAACTCCTCTTATACCACTGAATGAAATTTAATGAGACTTTCAAAGAATCTTTTTTACTTAGTGCCATTGTGTTCCTTTTATTTTACTTTTTGATCGGACACATATTTCGGATTTCCCATAGCAAAACATGGACACCATACCATTCTTTCTATAATATCGAGGGGTACACATCTCTTATTCGCAACTCCTCCTACACCACTGAATAAAATTTAATGATACTTTCAAAGATTCTTTACAACATAGTGCCATTGATCATTGAATCATTATTTTTTTGAAATATATAGTCTTATAACTGCAATGGTGTGTGCAAACAAATTGAGTAAAGCGCGTTAGTTATGAAAATTTGTTTGCACACAAAGTTGCAGTTACGAGACTATATCTTTCAAAAAAAAAAAAAAATAATGATTTAAAGCTTATATTTATATTTTTCACCTCCTTGCCTTGACTGCAAATGTGATTTTTATTTTCAAATCCCTGTATTATCCATTGGATTAATTACAATTAATGGAAGAGCCATTGCAAGAGCTTCTTTTCAAAGTGAGCGTTAATTTTTATTTTCGTTTCAGACGTTGCACTTCCACGGCGTTTAACGTTTGTAACGTCAAAATAAATCGCATTTTTCAACCTTTTGACCCTCTAAACTAATTTACGAGACATGATCTTTTAAAAGATATTCTTTAAACTGGATGAGTATAAGTGATGCTGAAAATTTCCATCATCTTAAAGAAGTAATTAAAATCAGAGTTATCTTTCTTGTGATATTGGGTAATTTACAAAAGCAAATTATCGATAAAGTAACCCCTGATTGATTTTAATTTATATTATAAGAAGGGCCTCAACATATTAAACGCGACAGAAAAATAAATATGCAGTTGGTCACATGATTAGACTTTCGTGCGTAGGAAAGCAAACCGCTCCAGACTTTTGGAGGGTCTAGACTGACGACACATGACGTCGTACATGTAGGTTATGTTGTATTTCCATAATAAAGTCTAAATATTGCATATTTTCTTTATAACACAAATAAATATAAACTAGTATTAATTGTAACGGGGACCGTTACAGATGTTCCCCAAACGCTCCCCAACTTCCTTTTGGTGTCTTATTCCCTGTAAGCTTCATTAAATAAGGCAATGAAGTATATTGGGTTTTTTTACGCATTACACGAGCGCGCACGGGCATGCATGTACAAAATGACCATGTCAACTTGTCTACACTTTCAATACATCTTTATATTCAAATTTCATTAAAAGATAAAAAAAAATTCGGCTATATTAAGTATATCTGTCATTTTACGCATTGCACGCGCGCGCACGTGCATGCATGTCCATGATGACCGTGTCATCTGGTCAACACTATAAATATATCCACATATTTTGGGTATCAAATCATTGCATCAAAAAGTATAAAAGTTACAGCTATATCAAGTATATTGGTCATTTAAGCATTGCATGCGCGCGCACGTGCATGCATATGCATGTTGACAATGTCGTCTTGTCTACATTTATAATATGTCTATATATTCTGAGTATCAAAGCATTACATCAAAAAATGTAAAAGTTATGGCTATATCAAGTATATTGGTCATTTTACTTATTGCACGCGCATGCACGTGCATGCAAATGCATGCATGTGCGCGCTGATCATGTCATCTTGTCTACACTTCTAATATATATTTATATTCTGAGTTTCAAAGCAGTTCATCAAAAAATATACAAGTTAAGTCTATATCATTTGTATAGGTTATTTCGATCATTGCGCATGCGCACACGTGCATGAATGTGCATTCTGACCATGTCATCTTGTCTACACTATTAATATATCCTGATATCCTGAGTATCAAAGCATTTCATCAAAAGATATTAAAGTAATGGCTATATCAAGTATATTTGTCATTTTACTCATTGCACGCGCACGCACGTGCATGCATCTGTGCGCTGATCAAGTCTTCTTGTCTACACTTCTAATATATATTTATATTCTGAGTGTCAAAGCAATTCATCAAAAAATGTACAAGTTAAGTCTATATCAATTGTATTGGTTATTTCAATCAATGCGCATGCGCGCACGTGCATGCCTGTGCATTCTGACCATGTCATCTTGTCCACACTATTAATATATCCTTATATTCTGAGTATCAAAGTATTTCATCAAAAGACATGAAAGTTATGGCCAAATCAAGTATATTGGTCATTTTACTCATTGCACGCGCACGCACGTGCATGCACGTGCGCGCAAAATGACCTTCGTTCCGCAAATCTACATAACATTCCTATTAACCCTAAAAAGGTTTCAACTCAATCGGATGTATAGTTTCCGAGATCACTCACGGACAAAAAAGTACCCAGGAAGAAAAATAATAATAACTAGATGAGATCTCGTTGCGAGCAACGAGTAGGTCTTCCGTCCAATTTTTCGATGAGATATGATTTTGACTATGATCTTTGTTAAAAGATAATAATATATATAGACTTCCCTAATTAGATTTCAATCCTTTGATTTATATACATTATCAAAGAGCTATCGATGAATTGCTTTTGGCCCTTCTGAACCCCTAGTTTGAGGGGTCAGCCCCTTTTTCTTGGTATCAATTGAAAGGTCTTGTGATTTTGAAAACGTTTTGTTCAAAAACTATTCAGAGATTTCTTTTCGTTGTGGAAATATGCTGAATGGAAATATTTAGGGGCCACCCCTCCAAGTCCTTAATGGGGCCGTTTGACAGAAATTGAAAGGGTGCATATTGTTTAGAACATTATTCTGACCATCTTTTGTTCAGTATTGCTTATCAAAATATTTCCCCTTTTCGAGATATAAAACATCAAAAATTTAGTATTCTGGCCTCTTGCGACCCCTTATTACGTAAAATATGATCAGAATCTTATCATATATTGTTGTAAATCGTTAAGAAAAGCATCTTTGCTTCAGTAATGTATTACAAATTATTGATCGTTAAAGAGTTATAGGTGAGAGACTTTTGGCCCCTCTGAGCCCCTAATTTGAGGGGTCAGCCCCTTTTTCTTGATATCAAATGAAAGATCTTGTGATTTTGAAGACTTTTTGTTCAACAACTATTCAGAGATTTCTTTTCGTTATGGAGATATGCTGAATGGAAATATTTAGGGGCCACCCCTCCAGGTCCTTAATGGGGCCGTTTGACAAAAATTGAAAGGGTGCATATTGTTTAGAACATTATTCTGACCATCTTTTGTTCAGTATTGCTTATCAAAATATTTCCCCTTTTCGAGATATAAAGCGTCAAAGATTTAGTATTCTGGCCCCTTGTGACCCCTTATTACGTAACATATGATCAGAATCTTATCATATATTGTTGTAAATTGTTAAGATAAGCATCTTTGCTTCAGTAATGTATTACAAATTATTGATCGTTAAAGAGTTATAGGTTGAAGACTTTTGGTCCCTCTGAGCCCCTAATTTGAGGGGTCAGCCCCTTTTTCTTGATATCAAATGAAAGATCTTGTGATTTTGAAGACTTTTTGTTCAACAACTATTCAGAGATTTCTTTTCGTTATGGAGATATGCTGAATGGAAATATTTAGGGGCCACCCCTCCAGGTCCTTAATGGGGCCGTTTGACAAAAATTGAAAGGGTGCATATTGTTTAGAACATTATTCTGACCATCTTTTGTTCAGTATTGCTTATCAAAATATTCCCCCTTTTCGAGATATAAAGCGTCAAAGATTTAGTATTCTGGCCCCTTGTGACCCCTTATTACGTAACATATGATCAGAATCTTATCATATGTTGTTGTAAATCGTTACGATAAGCATCTTTGCTTCAGTATTGTATTACAAATTATTGATCGTTAAAGAGTTATAGGTGAGAGACTTTTGGTCCCTCTGAACCCCTAATTTGAGGGGTCAGCCCCTTTTTCTTGATATCAAATGAAAGATCTTGTGATTTTGAAGACTTTTTGTTCAACAACTATTCAGAGATTTCTTTTCGTTATGGAGATATGCTGAATGGAAATATTTAGGGGCCACCGCTCCAAGTCCTTAATGGGGCCGTTTGACAAAAATTGAAAGGGTGCATATTGTTTAGAACATTATTCTGACCATCTTTTGTTCAGTATTGCTTATCAAAATATTTCCCCTTTTCGAGATATAAAGCGTCAAAGATTTAGTATTCTGGCCCCTTGTGACCCCTTATTACGTAACATATGATCAGAATCTTATCATATATTGTTGTAAATTGTTAAGATAAGCATCTTTGCTTCAGTAATGTATTACAAATTATTGATCGTTAAAGAGTTATAGGTTGAAGACTTTTGGTCCCTCTGAGCCCCTAATTTGAGGGGTCAGCCCCTTTTTCTTGATATCAAATGAAAGATCGTATCATTCTGCACAACTTTTCTTCTATATGTTTTAACAAAATCTAAACATGTATGAAGATATGAAAGAAAAGGTGTAAAATTTTGTGAGATGTTTCTGAGACATTTTTTGAGCCCTACCGAGCTTCGGCGCC